CTACTCCCATTGTTGTCCTTATTGGTGTCCTATGTTACAGAAGAGGCACATTTTCTTGGAGACCAGATCTAAGATTGATCCTGTTGGGTTACCAAAAGACCATAACATCATTTGGGCCCTTGGCCTATGAAGCTCTGTCTCAACTGTACAACCCTAAAAAAAACATGGTTCATGGGGGGATCTTTTAACATCACTTTGGTGGCTTCCTGACGCCCCCCAAAAACTTTCTGGGTTTGCCTCCAAACCTTTCTTTCTAAGCCAGGACCATCTCGTTATACAGTATTCTCTCGATGAGTTGAGAATTCACAATCCTCTAGGTCACGGGAGGGAAGTTTCTATCCTTTAAACATAAATCTCTATTTATATAATGCCAGTACAAATGCCCCTTTTTTGGGGGGTGAGAGCCATGTCGTTCGTGGACGATCTGAAGTGCCATAGGGTTAAAGCTAAAATAAAAAATAATAAAAAATGAATTCACATGTACAGACAATCCTGAAATGTTGCGACACCACAAAGTGCCATTCACAAAACAAAAGTGGCAAGAGGCTTCAGAAGGAGGTGCAAGTTGTACACACGGGGCGTAACCCACAACAGCCAGGTCCTAATTGTCATATTTCTAGTGCACTTTTCGAAAGGAAGAAAGCTTTGGGCTGACTGATACGGGTTACGGAACCACGGTATGTTGAGCACCATGTGGTCGGTTGCACACTACAAAAAAAAAAAAAAGAAGTTATTCTGAGAGAGTCGAGCCAGGCAACGAGGTACGGCACTTTGAGTGTCAACTGGCATGTGGGCGGTAAACCCCCTACGTGTCTTCTGAAGAAAATGTCAGTCAAATGGTCACCCTCCCTGTTCTTTTTTGGTTCAGAGGTGGACGAATGGGTAACCATTACCTTTGTGGTGGTTGAGAAAGCCATTTCATGAACATGGAGAATGCAGCCTATCCATCAGACCTCTGAGGAAGCAGCATATCCACAAACTAGAGAACAGACATATGAAGAATGAAGCCTAGGCATGCACTAAAGGTCAGCAATCTAATGTATTCTATCCATTTACTGAAGACAACTCCGAGGACGAAGCTGATCCTATCACTAGAGAACAACTACAACACTGTAACCTCAGCCTATCCGTTTGCTAGAGATTGATGATGTCACCAAGTATACGGCCTATCCATTCAATACTAAACACCACTGGCACTGAAAATGTAGCTTTGTTCTTCTCTAGACCCCGATGACATCACTGGGAATGCAATCTATCGACTCAGTGCAGACTTGTGACATCACTGAGAACGTAGCCTATCCATTCACTAGAGACCGGCGACATCACTAAGAATGCAGCCTACCCATTCACTAGAGACTGGTGACATCACTGAGAATGCAGCCTATCCAATCACTTCAAGTCAGTGACATCACCCATAACGCAGCCTAATTACTCCAGGCCGGTGACATCACTCATAATGCAGGTTATCCATTCAGACTGCTGACACATCTTAGAATGCAGCCTATCCATTCACTAGAGACTAGTGACATCACTGAGAATTGCAGCCTATCCATTCACTAGAGACCGGTGACATCACTGAGAATGCAGCCTATCCATTCACTAGAGACCGGTGACATCATTTAGAAAGCAGCCTATCCATTCACTAGAGACCGGTGACATCACTGAGAATGCAGCCTATCCATTCACTAGAGACCAAAGACTTCACTAGAAATGCAGCCTATCCAATCACTTCAAGGCAGTGACATCACCCATAATGCAGCCTAATTACTCCAGGCCAGTGACATCACTCATAATGCAGGTTATCCATTCAGACTAGTGACATCACTGAGAATACATCCTATCCATTCACCAGAGACCGGTGACATCACTATCCATTCACAGTAGAACAAAGCCATGGTGATAATGACAAGTCTTGATGAAAATGTAATTACTAGAAGGTACTTTTATATGATTCAGTGATGTCAGTGTCCCCCTACCAAATTATTAGCATTGTTCCTATGCCCGATCAGTCTCCCCAGCTTCAGCTTCACTGCAAACCGCAATAAAAAAATGGCTGCTCTTTGCGGAAGGGATATGCCGTAGTAACATGAGGTTAGAACCCCATGGAGGTTAGCGCCCAAACTCTTAATGGCTGTCTCAAAACCACTTTTCAATAAAGAAATAAAAAAGGTCACCACGAACCAAATGTGATACCAAAATGGACAAAGTGGGTACTGCCAATCATTTCTAGGTACAAAAACCTTTCCGAGGGGGATGCCACAAAGCAAGACGTCTCAACGAGAGCCATCGGCCAACTCAGAAGCCACACTAGTGATGGGACTCAACCGCCTCAGAGCTAGCATGTGACCCATGAAATAGTAGATGGCTCCAAACCTTGCTTCACCATGGGAACCCTTTCTCCCAAAAATTCAGTGCATGTGTGTATATAGAATGGTCAAGACACAGTTGGGTCTATAGACACCCGGCAAGCTCATGCTTGGGAGAAGGAGACACTCCGTTCCGAGACAAGAAGGTGGTGTACCGCCGCCGTCTAGAGAGCAAACCGCTGGACCGTCTCACAAACTCCCTCCAATCTCCATGGGAACCGAATTTATCAAAAAAAGTGCTTTTCTCATGAAATGTATCAAACCATTGGAAGGAGCATGCAAGAACGTAAAAGGTTGACCAACCCTGGAGGTGTCGTTGGTTATGAACGATTAAGAAAGCTTCACAAAGACTTGTAAGACTTGGTAGTTAACTGTTCTTCAGTGCAGTGAATACATTCCCACTGAAGGTATTTTTGATTTTTTTTTTGTGTTTTTTCCCCGTGTTTTTTAAAATAAAATGACCTTAGAAGCTTTGAGAGCGGAATTAAAAACAATTCAACCAAAACTCTTGACGACGTAGACTCATGCAAATCGAAAATAGTCCCATCTCGAGCCTAACCTGTCCTATGAGACCTGACCGAGCAAGTTCCACCGAGACTGACCTGAAATATTTCCGTTAGGTCCCTTTTATCTTTTCTTTAATAAAGTAAAATTGCTACATTTTGATTTAAATAAAATTTTTAAAAAACAACAAAAAAATACTGCTAATCCGTAATAAGCTATAAAGAGTGCTACATACGTTTAAAACCCATTAATTAAAAAAATTATATATATATAAAAATGTTTGAAAGTATACTTTTTTGAAATATTTTGGGTGAACTTTTTGTTTCCCATAAAAATCCATGTTTTAAAGAATATTGGTACTTTAATTTAATTTTTTTGGGGAGGAGGGATAGGGGAA